GCCTGTGCTCCGCAACGGGAGAGGCCCCAACAGTGAGAGGCCCGCGTAAAAAAAAAAAAAAAAAAAGGTAAATTTTATGTATATTTTACCCTGATTTTTTTTTAAAAATTTTTAAAGGAATGAAGACGGTCCCCACGAACTGCTATGGGCCTATTTCCAGGATGTATTGTAAGTGAAAAAAACAAAATGCAAAAGAATACCTACAGTGTGGTACAGTGTGGTACCCTCCCTGTGAGCACGATGGGGACATAAGAAAATATGTGTGAGTCTGAAATATGAAAATAAAAGCCCTGGCCCTGGGTCACCTCGCTCAGAACCCTCCCAGGAGACAGCGTGCATGCCTAAACCATCTGTGTAACCTGCAGGGCCCAGCACACGGTCCTCTCCTGGGCAGAGCTCCGGCGGCCTGGTGGGACACATCCCGGCAAAGTAAGGATGAAGTCAGGTAACCAGGGAAGGAGCCTGGTGTGCCTGCAGCTCTGGAGGCAAAGAAAGGAGGAGGGAGGGAGGGAGGGAGGACCCTGAGGAGGACGCAGGGGAGCTCCAGCTACATTGTTACACTTGAGGCAGAGGAGGGAGAGGAGCCAGTCCGCCCTGCAGATGGATCCAGAAAACTCCACCAATGAGCTTTCCTAGTCGGAAGACAGCAGCTGACTGATGGGGATTAGCTTTGGCCTGCTCATCATCTGAAACCTTTGGGGTTCACTGCCAACATTTGAATATCGGAACTTACCCCGCTCCCCGATATCCTGGATTTCTGGCTTCTCTTGAAAAATAAAAGGATTTGGTCACGCCTGGCAGTGTTTGAGCCCCCTTCCACCCCACTAACCCTCGCCAGGCACCAGCCTCCCTCTCCTTACCTGCCTGGCCGGTGGGGCTTCTGCGTTTGGTATTGGGAGAAGCTCCTAGAAGCTGCACCCGGCTGGCTGGCTTTCTGCTGTGCAGTTTTTGAGGGTTAAGTATTATTCACCGCACCCTGGGCTAGCTACTGGGAGGGAGGCTTGGGGCTCTGAGCTAAGCTTCGAGAAGTGGCTGGTGGGGGAGTTTGCATCTGTGACCCCTGCTCGGACGGACGCCTGCACTGTCCAGCGGGCCAGCAGAGTTCATTGCCCACTGCGTCTTGGAGGAGGCTGTCGATTGCAGGCAGGCTGCCTCAGATCCTCGCCCCGACTGCCCATCGGTTGCCGTTCATCCACCCCGGTCTGCAAGGCACCGGCGAAGCAGGGCCAAGGCCAGAGGGCTAGCTGAGGATCACAGTTCCTCCATCTGCAAACAGTAATTTCACCCTCCTGCCATTGCTGGGAAGAATTCAGAGGGATACAGCATCACAGGCACATTCTAGCCATAGCTTTTGAAGAGCATTTATTCTGCCAAGATTTATCAGGCTCCTGTTGTGGGCTGTGTTAGTTACCCGGGACGGCCGGAGCAAAGACTGGGTGGCATGAAACAACAGAAGTTTATTCTGTCGCAGTTCTGGAGGCCAGAAGTCCAAAATCAAGGTGTCCGCAGGGCCGCGCTGCCTCCAGGGCTCTGAAAGAGTTCTGTTCCTCTCTCCCAGCTCTGCTGCTGGCTGGCAGCCCTTGGCATTCCTTGGATTGCAGGCTCATTACCTAACCTTTGCCTCCATCTTCACATGGCCTCTTCCCTGTGTGTCTGTGTCTGTTCTTATAAGGACACCACTCATGTTGGATGTAGGACTCACGCTAAAGCAGTATGACCTCATCTTAACTAATTACATCTGCAAAAACCCCATTGCCAAATAAGGTCACATTCTGAGGTTCTGGGTGGATGTGAATTTGGGGGACACGATTCAACTCAGCACAGGTGCTAAGCCCTGAGATGACCTAATAGGTGGGGTCCCTGCTCACAAGAGATTCACAATGCAAAGGCTGTTTCTGCATTCATCCTGTCTTCTTTCTTCTCTCTGGGTTTGTGACTGAGCTGCTTCCAGGCCTGTCCTGCAGTGGGGACAGGGCCGCCTGGGCACACGGGGGGTCTTCCCAGGCCACGAGGTTGTGCTCTGGAGCCTCCGGGCCCTCCCCCTGGGCTGGCAAGATGGTGCCGCCTGTGAGCAGCCCTGGTTTTCTCGTTTCAGATGGCAGAGCAGCTAATGACCTTGGCCTACGACAATGGCATCAACCTCTTCGATACCGCAGAAGTCTACGCGGCGGGCAAGTACGTGCCTTTTCTCACTGGAAGAAGCGATGCAGGCCAACCACAGCTTCCCTGGGAAGAGCTGGAGCTTCGATTGCTCCAGGGGCTCTTACTCCCCAGAGGGTTTGCACCTCCCACTCTGCCTGCTTTTCTAAACTGTAAACGGAGTGGGGAGGTGGTGTTTTCACGGGGCCAGAATCACAGAACATTTGGCCACTTGCTAAACGCCCGTGTGTTCAAGCAGCAAGATGACCACAGCCCTTCTGGTGCCAAAGATGCTGCGTTGGGCGAGAGCCGTGATTAAGCTGTAGTCCGGGGGGCTCTCCTGCCGTGCCCGCGAAGTGCAGGCAGCCCCACATGCCTGATATTTTCACATCTTAATGGTGCAGTTAGGGCTGCAGGGAATGCAGGGCGTCTCAGGAGCTGGGGAGAGCAGGGTCTGCTGAGCCGAGCGCTGCAGGGAGCTGCTCTTCCCATCTTGGCAGTGAATTTTCCTACTCAATTATGTAAAAGCCCTCTTCAGCCAAGGCTGCTGGCTTCAGTTTTAAAGACTGGCTGTAATCAAATCATCCAGTCTCCTGCATCGGGTTTCCAAAAGTCAGCTTTTGTTTGTGAAATCATTTGTTGGCTCTCTCTTTGTCCTCCCTCTGGCCCCCTGCTGCCTGGGGCAAGCCAAGTTCCCATCAGCTGGGCTGCTCAGCCTGGCCCACCGCCCGTGCACTGTGGCCACAGGGCCAGCACCTGCCTCGCAGGCTCCGGGTTATTACCTGCAGCTCTCTCTCGATGGAGCCTAGGGTACCGAGAATCAGGACCCCAGCTGGTACTTTGCTCAAGTCCTGGTCTGATGATCTGACAGCCCCAAGGGCCTCCACTGGGTCCCCCAAATTTCCTCCAGACCCTGTCAGCAGCCCTCTGTCCTGATGCCACAGCTCCCTCCCCACCCCTCCAAACCGGCAGCTGCTTTCCATCAGAGCGAAATGCTTTCCAGACAGATGAGCTAAGCCGAAGGGTCAGAGGTGGAAAAGCCCAATGCAAATGCCAAGCCCAGAGGCGTCCCCCCCATCCCGAGCACCCCAGCCTGTTCCCTGGCCCTGCGCCTGCCTCCGTTTTGCTGGCCAGGAGAGCGTGAGGAAGGCAACTCCAGATGGCCCTGTGTCCAGGCCCAGCACCCCCCTTTCACGGCAGCCACACTGTCTGCGTCACTGTCTTCACTTCCCCCAGCTTAACTGGACAGCCAGGGCTGGCGTGCCGGGGCCAGCACACTGAGTCCCTCTTGCTAACCAGAGCGCCAAGCGTCTGTCTTACTGAGTGCCCCTGCTTCTCATGCTTTGGGTGCTTCCCAGAGAGCTGCAGGATTTCTGTGCCCCCGCTGGGCAGAGGCTTACCAAATTCGTGGCCAGGAGAACTCACAGCCGAAAGCAACAGGCTTCCAGTGAGTTGTTGCCTACAGCTCCTGCAGCCCCAGGACCACCACTGCCTGCTCCCCTCTCTTCCTCCTTTCCTGATCTTTTGTGCCACCAACGAGGGACCCAGGAATAAAAGGAAGAGACCCAGGGCTGAGTGACTTTCTGTGCATCTTGACCGCAAATGAAGAACATTCAGAACGTATGCAAAACAGCTCACAAATTAGAGCCCCTTACTTCTGAGTGGATGACTCAGGCGCTGTTATAATTGGAATGTAGCGCTGGGTATGGATGGTTCTCCGTCTGTTGTTTTTTTGCGCAGAAACATTTCGCCACAAGCAGAAAGTTCTTAAAAGTTAATCCAGCGCTGCAGTGCCAAGCGAGGCTGGAACGGTCCACGCATGACCCTGGCTGGCCTCAGTTTGGTGCAGGGTCTGGAGGGACGCCAAGCAGAACAGAGAGCGGTCAGCATGGCATCTGTCTCTCTATTGTTCAGAAGCAAGAAACAAGAGGGATACACACACACACACACACACACACACACACACACACACACACACTCAAACGCACTTGGCTGGAAATTCAGCCCTGAGTACATGTTGATTGTCTCCGCAGAGGATGCCCTTGGTGAATAATTTACCTTTTAAAAAATATACGTGTCCAGAAACTTCACCCATGTAACGTTGCCGAGCGTCTTCCCCGGTGAATTTCCAATGGGCCAGGACAACGGTCTGCTGCTGGTCTTGCCAAGCAGGACATTGCTCCTTCCTCCTCCGCCGGAGCTGCCATCGCTGGGTCAAGTGGCACACGCCCGTGGCCACCTCCACGGGGGAGTAACCCAGCTGCTCCCAGGCACTCTCCTCGCTCTGGAATGAGCTTCCCGAGCCAAAGGGCATTAACAGCCTGGCTCCCTGGCCCCAGTGGCATTTTCACAGAGGGGACCCTGTGGTTGGTTGTCAAGGTGGGGGGAGGTTTGGTGTTTCTGTTACGCTGTAATGAAGTCCCCATGTCTCGGTCTTCTTGGCAGGGCTGAAGCGGTGTTAGGAAACATCATCAAGAAGAAAGGCTGGAGGTAATCACTCTGCTCTGTGCTCCATCCCCGGGGCGCACGCGCACAGGGAAGAGGCTGGAGGAGGCTGGTGGGAGGGAAGACGACCACCCTGGGGTCCTGGGTGGTATGGGCAGGCCACCCGGGCGAGGATCCAGTGGCTGTTCCTTCCTGTTTTCTGGTGTAGCACCCTGGGTTGGCCTCATCACCCTTGTGCCACCAGCCAGGCTGTCTAAGGCCTGGCGGTTCCAGAATTTTTCTTTCTGGGAAGGTGAGAACGTCCCAGAATAGAGGCAGCCCCATGCTTCCTGCAGGGGGTGCGAGCATTCACACTGTGGGTGGCCACCCCGGGGAGCCAGGGCCTGCACCACGGTGAGGGGGGCGAGCTCCCCCCTCCCCCGGAAAGCCGGTCAGGAGCCTTGTGTCTGGTGTCAAGCAGAGTTCCCGCCCGCCCTCCTGGAGTCAGGCCAGGCTGAGCGCTTGACTGCATTTTGGGGTCCCTGTGGCCTGTGTGTTTTTATTTTCAGCAAAGTCAGAAGCAGTTAGAAGGCTGGGCCTCTCCCCTCC